TATATACAAACTAATAGTGGGGAAAATGAAATGAAAATTTAATCAATCTAGAAGAACACAGACAAGGAAAAACAGAAATAAACAGAAACAGAGGGGGAAAGCAGACCAAATAGGAAGTGTTTTACAACATGAAACAGCAGAAAATAATCCAAAAACATCAGTAATCATTATTTGTACAAATGTGTCACGTCAGTGATCACTATTAGTACAAATTAATACAGAGACCTGTATTAAGGCCTTGTTAATAGAGAGATGGTTGATTAGATTTTTTTTAATTTCAGTATATACCCTTTACAAAAGAACTTTGACACAAAAAAACTGGAAAAAATGCTCCAAGCAAATGTCAACCAAAGGAAAACTGGAATAGCTGTTTCAATATCCAACAAAGCAGACTGTAAGACAAAAAGTGTTATTTGGCTTGAAAGGGTTTATAGTCAAATTATTAAAGGGGTCATTTGCTTTGAGCTGGCCAAAAAGTTCATTTGGAATGTAGCTAGGTTGTTCAATAAAGGTCTTGGTGAAAATAAAAACTGCGCCTAAGCCCACACACTGCAGCTCCTGAGCCCATGTGCCACAACTAGAGAAACCTGCATGCTGCAATGAAGACCCAGAACAGCCAAAATAATAATAAATACAGTGAAGTCACTCAGTCGTGTCCAACTCTTTGCAACCCTGTGGACTGTAGCCCACCAGGCTCCTCCGTCCATGGGATTCTCCAGGCAAGAACACTGGAGTGGGTTGCCATTTCCTTCTCCAGGGGATCTTCCCAACCCAGGGATCGAACCCAGGTCTCCCACATTGCAGGCAGACACTTTAAAGTCTGAGCTACCATAAATGTTGCCATTGCTCAGTAGCTAAGTCGTGTCTGACTCTTTTTTGACCCCATTGACTGCAGCACGCCAGGCTTCCCTGTCCTTCATAACCTCCCAGAGTTTGCTCAAACTCTTGTCCATTGAGTCAGTGATGCCAAAGAAATTCAAAAAAAAAAAAAACGAATCACAGGACAGCATACGAACTTTCTTTACTTTCAAGTAGGTGTTGGCTCCAGAAAGAAGGGTAGAGAGGCTGAAGTTAGTAAGAACGAAGATGAGTAATGAAACTCTTCAAAGAAACTGCTTCTCAGTTCAACAGGGTGTGTTTTTTTTCTTTTTATCAATGAAGCCAGTTGCTAGGGCAGGAAGGGCAGGTGGGGGTGGGGGTGGTGATGGGAGGTCTGGGAGAGAAGGTGGGTAGGAGCGGTCAGAGATGCTGACAGCTTGTCGTCTCCGTGACGTGCACAGCTGCTTGGGTTGTATTTTAAACGGGATCACATCCCAGGGTAGACACGGCGTCTGGATTTATGATCCACCCCATGATCTGTCACTTTTATGTATATGCACACACACACAAGGGAGTGGAGTGGTTTCCATAGAGAGGAAAGATCACGGCCCACTTACAAATAATTCAAGAAAAGGAGCCGGCGACCCCAGAGAAGACAGAAGTTCGGGGGGATGTTCCCGGGGCAGACCTCTCGGTTCTGAAGCTTCCGGCCTGCCTCACTGAGCGTTTGCACTTCAGAGGGACGTCTGCTCACAGGTAAGGCTCTGGTTGGGGACTTCCCTACAAAGGATAACTTGATTTGCCCTTAATTACGCAGGAGATGCTGGGGACTGGATGGGGTGAGTGATAAGAGTTGCAAGCACCCCTGGGGGCACTGTGCTGAATGGTCAAGGTCTGTGTTTTAAATGGGGAGAAGGCAGCCCCAAAGGGATCAGGGGGATGTTTCTCAGGGGGACAAGAGCATCCTCCCCCCATTAGTAGACAGGCCTGCTTTGCAAATGGTTAATAGACCAGAAGCAGGATGGTTTCTCACAAATGTGTTTTTCTGAACAGAGTCCAGCTGTGAACATGAAAATCATGTTTCCAGATGGGGTGAATGGGGAAGATGGGGGTGGAAACCGGGGCACCATTCCCCACTGCCTGACTGACCGGGAAGATGCTTGCATTTCCTGGTTGCCAAGGCATCTCCTTTCATTCTCTCCACACACCTGCGAGGCAGGTAACGTCTGCTTTTTAAGATGTGGTGACTGAGAGGTTAAGTGACTGATGGAAGGCATTTGAGGGTGAGGGAGGTTTGCAGTCCAGGTCCTCTGCCCTCATAGCCTGGAGTCCTTTCCCCCTGGCCACTGGGGACACTGGAGGAAGGGAACAGATGTCTGTAATAATTAGGTGCCCCCCGCCTTGAAAGGGAGAGGCCATAAAGATGGATGTTTGATGTCTCCATTTGATGTCCAAGTGTTCCGAGAAAACCTGTCTGCAGGGTTCTCCTGTAACACAGCAATCTAGCCAGCATCCCACTTCTGAGGATGAATGGAGTCAGAAAAGCAACACAAAAGCTGCCAGTAACAAGTGTTGTCTAGATCTTGTCACCTTTCTCCTGGCTTTTCTCCCTCTTGGGGGGAAAGGCCTTTCATGAATGAACCCCCTCTGCTCACTCAAGTGTGAATTGCTAAGAAGTGTGTGTGTGACACATAAATGCTTCCATGAGTCTGCAGCTCATTACTATACCATTCAAAATGCTTAAAGGATCCCTGGGTTCAGCAGTGACTGTTTTATAAATTGTTTTTTTAATTCAATGTCTTACCCGTGTTTGCAGACTGCGAACTATCTCTGCCTTCCTCGATGCTGGAAAATGGGGCTGCCTCTGGGCAAAGCCCATGGTGTCCTGCATTTGCCTCTAGCTTCACTTTTTTCCTTCAGGGATGCTCTCACTCACAGGTGCTTTGAATTTCAGACCAGATGAGTCCCTCACTGCCTGTCATTCTGGGTGTGACGTGACTGTCACAGCTCCCAGAAGCAAGTGTCCGTCTCTAGAGAAGCACTATCCTAATAACCCTCAAAGAATGGCTGAGTGCCAGGTACCCAAATGAAAAAAATGAAGATGAAGAACTTTTCCCTGTAAATCTAACTAGATGGGGACCATGTGTTTTCAGAGCAGGTAGCAGGGAAATCTTAAACCTTTGTACTCTTGCACTGTGGTAAGGGCAAAGGAATCCAAAAAATGTAAGAGGAGAAACTTGCTTAGGAATCAGACCTGAGTAAGGAGGAAAGGATGTTTCTTTTCTTTGACAGTCCTCTCTGTTCCTGGGATTGGCTCCAGTACCGTCACAGATCCCCAGATGCTCAAGTCCCTTATATAAAACAATGTATTGTTCGCACATAACCTACAAACATCCTCCCATGCAGGGGTGAGTGCTAAGTCACTTCAGTCATGTCCAACCCTTTGTGACCCTATGGACTATAGCCCGCCAGGCTCCTCTGTCCATGGAATTCTCCAGTCATGAATACTAGAGTGGGCTGCCATGTCCTTCTCCAGGAGATCTTCCCCAACTAGGGATTGAACCCATGTCTCCTGCATTGCCAGGCAGATTCTTTACCACTAATGCCACCTGGAAAGCCCCACAATCTCCCATGGTTTTAGCTAAACAAAGCTAAACTGGAGAGAGAGAGGGAGAAAAGGAGAAAGAGAGAGGAGAGCCTGGAGCTCAGTCCCCTAATCTCACAGATGGGAACACAGGGACCTGGGGCATTTAGTCACTGAGCCAGTTAGTGGGGGGTAGGGCCAAGCCTGACCCATGAAAAGAGCAGGGGACCAAGGGAGAGAGTGACAGTGACCGAGAGAGACAGATCCCCTCCCACCCCGACCCCTGTCCCATTATTAACCCTTTCTCTGTGCATTCGTTTTTGGTTTTTTAAATCTTTTCGGGCTTAACAAGCCCTTTGAGAATGCTCCCAAGCTTTAAGATGCCTTCAAGGCATAAGGCAGCTAAAGCCACAATTCTTGGATGTTTATGCAAAACAACTAAGGACAGCCTCAGTGAATGAGGAAACCCGAAGTCTGGGTATTGAGCACAATATCAAAAGAAAGGATAATTCCATTCTTTTGCAGTCAACAGAGCCCTGTAAAATGTTCTCCAGGAACTGGGCACACAGTTCTAAGGACCTCGGAGATGGATGGGATCGCTGAGAAAGTGGTTCGCAAAGTGTGGTCCAGGAACCCACAACATCAGCATCCTCTAGGGATGTGTTAGGGGTGCAGATTCTCAGGCCTTTCCCCAAATCTACTGATTCAGAAATGCTAGAGATGTGGCCCAGCAGCTGGTGTTTGAACAGTCCATTTACATGATTCTGAACACTCTGAAGCGTGAGAACCGCTGACTTAGAGTTCAAGGCACGATAAGCCTACCTGGGTAAGAGTGGAGCAAACAGACAAAAAAGAAAAGCCAGAAACGCAACACAACAAAGATAACGGTCTGCAGGATCAAGTTACCTGGCATACTATACATCTATATTTATATTCGTATGATTTATATTCATTAGTTATATAATATATAGTACATTTACAGATACAGAGAGATCACTTCTGAGATGGCCACCTGTGTACTGAATCTTATCCTAATAGCACCTGGGGATTATTACATGTAAACAGTCATGAATCAACATGCTTCATTAAGTATTTGGTTAGACAGGGAGCTTTTCCATTTTAATTTAACCTTTATGAGGTAGCACCTATTATCCCCCATTATTATCATTATTATTATCAGATAAGGAAATTGACGTTCTCAGAGGTTAAGTAATCTGCCCGTCACCCTCAGGCAAACAAGGACCCAGTTGGAATTTGAACCTACCTCTGTCTAACTCCAGAGCCTGTGTTGCTTTCCATGTGCTAGTTAGCTAGTTCCTACATCTGGACCATCCCTACATTTGGCAACGATTCGTCATCAACAGGCTTGTTAACACTCAGATTGCTGGTCCCAGAGCTTTTGACCGACCAGCTCTGAAGTAAGACCCGAGAATTCTTTGCATTGCTAACAAATTTCCATGAGATGCGGCCTGCAGGTCCAGAGAACACGCTTTCAAAACCCGGCAAAGCTGAACGTAAAGCCTGGTGGATCTGCCCTATCTCCCCGTGAGCCCTAAGACCCTCTCACACGTATTGCTCTTTTCCGCAGCAGGGAGAGATGCTCGTGCCAGCCCCTTTCCTGCTGGTCTTGCTGCTGCTCCTCGGGGCCCCCCAGGCGGGCCTCACCCAGAGGTCCTGCAAAACCGGGTCCAGCCTCAGCTGCCTCCACACAGCCCTGCGCGAGGCTGAGAAGAGCCAGCAGAAGGACACATCGCTGCTGATCAAGCAGACCTTCCCCGCCCTGCCCCGCGGAGACCTGGAGGACCAGGAGGGGCAGGAAGAGGAGGACACAGAGAAAAGGACCTTCCCTGGCTCCGGGGGTGGCGGCGGTGGTGGCGGGGCTGGCAGCACCCGGTACAAGTACCCGTCCCAGGCACAGTTCCAGGGGCGGCCATCCCAGGACAAGGCCAAGAGTGACCGGCGCGCCAAGGTCACTCTGTCCCTGGACGTCCCCACTAACATCATGAACATCCTCTTCAACATCGCCAAGGCCAAGAACCTGAGAGCCAAGGCCGCCGCCAATGCCCACCTCATGGCCCAGATTGGGCGGAAGAAGTAGAGGAGGAGGCTGGGGACCCCCTGGGATGAGGACAGAGGTTGGGGGGGACAAGGAGGGTTGGCCCGTCCCGCCAGTTTGTATCGGAGGGCTCGGCCCTGGTTTCCAGGCTCTCCATCCCTCTGCGCCTTCCCGCCTCTGGCCGGGCCCCCCAACCCTCTATACCTACTCACACCAGCGCCGTGTTGTCCCAGATCCACAGACGGAGCCCACGGTACTGATACTGAGACACTGAGGTCTACCCTACACATCTCCTCTCTCCTTCCCCACAAGGAGCGGCAAAGGTCACGCCCTCCTGCCCTCCACTCCACTCTCTGACCCCAAGAAGAGGAGTACAGGGAGGCCCTCCCCTCCCCACACCAACACCAGCCCAAGCCGGAAGGCGAGGGCGCTGAGCACCCCGCCCCCAGACTCTCTCTCCCCTCTGGCCCACATTAAAACCCATGGCTTCTTGAACCCCTGGCTGGTTTCAATTCCTCTTCCTTCGGTCGGCTGCCTTCAGGCCTCCGAGCTTGGAAAGGGGCAGCTAGTGAGACAGGGTACAGGTGAGTCCATTCCTGACCCTCCCAGAACGAGAATGGTCCCTGGAGGTCTTGGGAGGCATGAAGAGCTTGGGAAAGGCCAAGTTGGCAGGACCCTGTTGGCCATCACTGGATCTGAAGCTGGCTGTGTGGCCAGGTCCCACCAGAGGCACAGCCTGGGGTCTGCTACAGAGTGAGCCCCTGGGTAGAACAGGAGACACCCCCAGCTCCTCCCTGGTTTGCTAGGGCCTGGGCCACTAAGTCTGTCATAGGTGCTTCTTGAACCGAAGGTCACTGTCCAGCCCTGTGCTGGGCCTGGTGAGGGATACTGAGGTGGGAGGCGTGAGGCCCTTGCTGTCCATGAGTCAACAGTCTTAAGTGAACAGACAAAAACAAAATGTGAAAAGAAGCAATTTCACCAGGGAGTATATAAGTGATGAACTGCAAGGTGATCGCAATTAGTGTAAAAAATACACGGAATTCAGAGCAAGATGAGAAGGCTTAATATGAGAAGCAGTTCACTAAAAATGGACATCAGCAAACACCCTGATGACCTCTGGCAGCAGAGCTTTCTGCATGGTGACAAGTCATGAATACACACAAGGTTTATGAAATAAACCCCATATACACACACCACCACCATCAGACACAAAGTCAAGAGACAAACAGACAACAAATTGGAAAAATGTTTGCCACACAGGCAAAAGACAAGTATCTTACTGATCAAATATATAAAGAGCTAATAATTTCCCAGGTGGCACTACTGGTAAAGAACCTGCCTGCCATTGCAGGAGACATTCGATCCCTGGGTTGGGAAGATCCCCTGGAGGAGGGCACAGCAACCCACTCCAGTGTTCTTGCCTGGAGAATCCCATGGAGAGGGGAGCCTGGCGGGCTACAGTTCATAGGGTTGCACAGAGTCGGACATGACTGGAGCGACTTAACACACACAAACACGCACACAAAATAACAACTGAAAAGAACAATCTCCCTCAAAAAAATAAGCAGGAACACATATATCACACACACAAACACAAGTGATCCTTAAATGTACAAACAGATGCTAAACTTCACTGCTAAAAAAAAAAGCAAAACTGAACTCTTACAGAATTTGTCAAAATCTGTTTGACAACAGGCTCACACTGTGACTGACGAGGTGCAAAACCTCCTTCCTTCATTGATGGTTGGTGGGAATGTGAATTCTGAGAGGCAGTTTGGAAAATCCGTATCAAAATCACAAATTCACTTTACCTTTAACTCAACAACCCTGATTCTGGCGGACATTATTGGAAAAAGCAAAATTGTGAAGTTTTTTAAATGTTAAGCTAACTTGGAAATGAAAAATACCCCATCTCTTAACAGAACCAATGCTCAAAAAGCTGAAATGCAACTGTTTTTTCCATCTTGGGCCAGGGTGGAGGGTGGCGCGGGGCGGGGGAGGGGGGACCCTCATGGCACAGCAGAAAGAATCCTGCTGAGACTCAGAATACCTACATGAATCTGGGTTCCTCCTCTTCTGTGTCTCTGAGCAAATCCTTTAACTTCCCTCAGTGCTGGTGTGCCAGGAACGCTCTTTAGGAACGTGACCTCACAGAATTCTCACAAGTGTATTTTTGTTCTAACAGTGCTTGTGGCATTCTGCTCACGCCAAAGGTGCAAAGGACAGGAAATGGGGGGGATTAGCTTGGTCAAAGAAAACCCAAGCAGGTGTGACATTTCCCTGAACAACCAAAAACACCAGGAGAACTTCCAAGTTGGGGTTGGTATCTGCAAGCACACCCAACTTCACAGCTATCTCCTCTTAGGGTCTTTGGCTAGATGAGCAAAGCCTTGAAGACAGCAGCCTCTAGTGGACTTAGATAAGTGGCTTTAAAAAGTTTTGTTTCGCTTTTTTTTTTTTTTTGTATTGGAGAATATTTGCTTTACGATGCTGTGTCAGTTTCTGCTGCACAGCAAAGTGAGTCAGCTATGTGTGTACATATCTCCCCTCTTCCTTGGATTTCCTTCCCTTTTAGGTCATCACAGTCCATGAGTAGAGTTTTCTGTGCTATAACATCAGTTCTCATATTTTGCTTTATTTTAAATCATGGTTCCTGCATCACAAAGCTCCAATCAAGAGGGTGATTTAAAAAAAAAAAAAAAAAGACACAGATCATTGCAAATGCCAGAATCACACACCTTGCAGCCAAAAAAACCCTGAAGCATAAAACAGAAGCAATATTGTAACAGATCCAATAAAGACTTCAAAAATGGTTCACATCAAAATAAAAAACCGTGGAGGAGACTGCCACACCCAGAGGCCACTACCACTGCCTTCTACCACCCCTGAATTCACCTTGTAAAACCAAGATTCTCTTGATTTCACTTTGTAAAATAATTGATGGGAGCAGGGGAGTTGGGGAGAACTGTGCTGGTTTGAGTTCCCTTGAAAAAACTGTTTTAAGCTCTCTTTTTAAAATAAAAAAGGGTTTGGGGGGCTTCCCTGGTGGCTCAGACAGTAAAAGAATCTGCCCACAATGCAGGAAACCCAAGTTTGATCCCTGGGTTGGGAAGATCTGCTGGAGAAAGGCATGGCAACCCACTCCTGTATTCTTTCCTGGAGAATCCCACGAACAAAGGAGCCTGGGGGGCTACAGTTCATGGGGTCGCAAATAGTCAGACATGATTGAGAAACTTTTACTTAAAACAAGGCTCAAATGCCAAGTGAACCTTCTCCAAAGAGACCAGTTCCTGGAAGACAGGATCTCTAAATGTTCTACCCAACAAGAAACCCCAAAAACAAATACTAAAGACCAAAAATGGTTCCTGCTTCCTGATAGCAGAACAATTTTGGAAGCTGTAACAAAATAATTAGCAAAAGCCAAGTGATACCAAGAATTCAATCAGATACTTTATATAATTCCAAGAAATGGGAGGTACATGTGCTCTAAGGTATGTAGTATTAAACCAAAAGACATTCATAGATATTAAGAGCTGAAGAAAAGCAAAATCTAATCAAATGGTGTAGCTAGCTACCTCTGTAAGAATTACAGATGGAATCAGACTTGAAAAACTAAACATGTGACTCAAATCCAAGTGTGCTATGGGACATTTCGTTCTTTTTAAAATTTATTTTTGTTGAGGTGCAATCGATATACACCATTGCACTAGTCCCAGGTGTACGATACAAAGATCCCACATCATCCTTTAATTAATGAAGTCCCTGTTACAGACAGTTGCTAGGGTTCAGCACATCCATTAGAGCCACAAAGATCCTGTCACAGCATCAACACTTAGGAGCTGCAGCAAGCTGAGAAGACAAAAGACTAAAAAGGTATCTTTGGAAGATAACCCAAGCCTATGGGATGACACAGTGTGTTTCTCTTTTGTTTTCTTGGCCATGCCTCGAGGCACATGGGATATTAGTTCCCTGACCAGAGATGGAAACTGCACCCCCTGAGGTGGAAGCATAGAGTCTTAACTGGACAGCCATGGAAGTCCCAGACACAGTGTTTTCTTAAGGAGTGAGCATCTTTACATACTCAGGAAATAGACTCCCAACTTCACTATCATATAAACCATGAGGGCAAGAATTTTTTTTTTTTTTTTTTGGTTCACTGTTTATCCTCAGTGGTCAGAATAATTAGGAGCACATGACAGGTGTTCAGAAAATAACTGGTGAATGAGTGAATTGAATCCGGATCATTAAAGTTCTTATGACATAGGAATCCATGCATATTTAGCATTTAAAGTGCAATGTGCATAATATTTGAGAGTATTTGGCCTAATAGAAGGACTTCCCTGGTGGCTCAGACGGTAAAGCGTCTGTCTACAATGCGGGAGACCTGGGTTCGATCCCTGGGTCAGGAAGATCCCCTGGAGAAGGAAATGGCAACCCACTCTAGTACTCTTGCCTGGAAAATCCCATGGATGGAGGAGCCTGGTAGGCTGCAGTCCATGGGGTTGCTACGAGTCGGATACGACTGAGTGATAATTCCAATTTAAATACATATTTTGAGTAAAGGTGAAGAAGGAATTCATAGGGCCTGGACTCCATCTTAGGCCTGTTCATGCTGATCATGCTCGGCCACCTCTCCAATGGTCTCTGAACTCTGTTTAGTATCTATGGAAATGACAACAGAAGGGTAAGATCCCCTCCGGACAGGGGAACCTTGCAGATTGTATCCAGGTTACTCCTCGCCTAAGAGAACACATATACTAATCACTCCTTCCTTCAGACAGGCCATAAATTTTCTGTACCTATCGGAGTGTAACCTCGGGCTTATTGATTATTGGCTAATTGTTTAACTGTCTAAACACATGGCACATGAATGATGGGGTTATTGGAATTATATTTACCCTTCCTTTGTTTATGTAAGTCTCAAGGAATTTGGGGTGGTGGGTTTCAACACATACACATGGGGTATAAAAGATTTTCACAAATGCTGATCGGGGTCCTTGGCTAAGAGGAAACTCTGCCTTGGACCCACTGGTGTAATAAACTGCACTCCACTATCTGCATTGTCCTTCTGAGTGAGTTTGTTTCCTGGAACGCATGGCTACAACAAAGGATTTACACATGTGACCTTAAATAAAAAGCTTATTAATTTATAGACAGTTTGGAGAACGTAAGAATACCAATCACCACATTTATAGTTTAGTTTATTTGATTTTAAAAGAACTAGAGCTCTTGGGAAGGTCAGATAATTAAAGTTCTTAAAATAAAATAAATTAAAATGAATATAACATAAAGTATTTAAGCATTTATCTAAGATTGCAAAGAGGACCAAAAATTCATACATTTTTAAAATGATTATTTAAATGTTGCTTAACTTAGAAATAAGATTTACAAACTGAACTTAAAAATTTAAGAAATTATTAGGCTTTTAATCTTAATTTTAGTAGATTACTAATTTTAAAAAAATAAAAGGAAACTTCTAAAAGGTCTTTTCTGAGTTTTTTAAATGTGTTTTCACACATGCATACACATACATACAGAGATACAAATGCCCTTCAGTTCAGTTCAGTAGCTTGGTGGTGTCCGACTCTGTGCGAGCACGCCTGGCTTCCCTATAAACCGAGCATTTAAGCATTTCACTAGCGCCCTCTAGTGTCTAAATAGAGAAATAGCACAGGCAAACAAAACATTTTCACTTGGTAAAAAGCCTCTAGTTCGATTCAGTCGCTCGCTCTGTCGTGTCTGACTCTTTGCGACCCCATGGACTGCAACACACTAGGCCTCCTGTCCATCACCAACTCCCGGAGCTTGCTCAAACTCATGTCCATCGAGTCAGTGATGCCATCCAACCGTCTTATCCTCTGTCGTCCCCTTCTCCTCCTGCCTTCAATCTTTCCCAGCATCAGGCTCTTTTCCAATAAGTCAGTTCTTCATATCAGGTGGCCAAAGTATTGGAGCTTCAGCTTCAGCATCAGTTCTTCCAGTGAATACTCAGGACTGATTTCCTTTACGATTGACTGGTTTGATCTCCTTGGAGTCTAAGGGACTCTCAAGAGTCTTCTCCAACACCGCAGTTCAAAAGTATCAATTTTTCAGCACTCAGCTTTCTTTATAGTCCAACTCTCACATAGATATGTGACTACTGGAAAAACCATAGCCTTGACTAGACAGACCTTTGTCGGCAAAGTAATGTCTCTGCTTTTTAATATGCTGTCTAGGTTGGTCATAGCTTTTCTTCCACGGAGCAAGCGTCTTTTAATTTCATGACTGCAGGTCACCATCTGCAGTGATTTTGGAGCTCAAGAAAATAAAGTCTCTCACTGTTTCCCCTGTTTCCCCATCTATTTGCCATGAAGTGATGGGATCGGATGCCATGATCTTAGTTTTCTGAATGTTGAGTTTTAAGCCAACTTTTTCACTCTCCTCTTTCACTTTCATCAAGAGGCCCTTTAGTTCTTCTTCACTTTCTACCATAAGGGTGGTGTCATCTGCATATCTGAGGTTATTGATATTTCTCCCGGCAATCTTGATTACAGCTTGTGCTTCATGCAGGCCAGCACTTTGCATGATGTAGTCTGCATATAAGTTAAATAAGCAGGATGACAATATACAGCCTTGACATACTCCTTTCCCAATTTGGAACCAGCCTAATAAAAGTTCAAATTACTATACACGAAATTTACATGAAAAAATATATTTTATGAGTAAGTATTTTAAACACAGTGGGAAACTTCACAGTGTACCTTCACTCTCCCTGTATTCTGGGTTAAAGTAAGTGAATTCCAAAGAGGCTACACGCAATAGGTGACACCTGAACTGGGTTCGAAGTTGGAATTATACCCCACAGTCATAGAAGGAAAGAAAAGAGAAAGCAGGGAGAAGAAAGAGTGAGAGAGGAGAGAGAGAGAAGCAGTCAAGAAAGAGAAAACTGTGGGAAGGGGCAAGCTGTCTAGCTTGATTGGAGTGTATGAGAACACAGTGAAAAGTGTGTGTTTATAAATGTCATTTCCACCAAACTGCAGTCATTGTCCTCTGTGGCAACAACAGTGTGAGCTGAAAACAGGCAAAGTGGTACATTGTTGGTATTTTATTTGTTTAATTATTTATTTTCCATGACATGTGGGATCTTCCCAGATCAGGGATCAAACCTGTGTCCCCTGCATTGGCTGGCGGATTCTTAACCACTGGACAACCAGGGAAGTCCAGACTTACTGTTAATGTTGACCCCCATTTGATTGAGCATGGAACTTGGGGTCTTGCTTGACTTAATTTCCTTTTTCTTCTCATCAAGGGAACTCTAGCCTTGAAACATAAAGTGTGACACTTCAACTCAGCATTCATTGTTACCAGTCAGATCTGCATCAGAGACTCCTCCCCATTTCCTCATAATCTTTCTCCAGGACCGCCAAGTCCTCCCTGGCCTCTGCAAACTCACCTTCCTCCATGCCCTCCCTGATGTACCAGTGCAGAAATGCCCTCTTAGCGAACATGAGATCAAACTTGTGGCCCAGACGGGCCCAGGCCTCTGCAACCGCTGTGCTATTGCTCAGCATACAGACTGCCCGCTGGACCTCAGCCAGGTCCCCTCCTGGCACCTCCCGGGGGGGCCGATCGTTGATGCCCACCTTGAATCCAGTCGGACACCAGTCTACAAACTGAACAGAGTTCCTGGACTTTGTGGCCGCAATCGCCGCGTTCACCTCGTTGGGGACCACATCCCCTCTGTAGAGCAGGCAGCAGGCCACGTACTTCCCCAGGCGAGGGTCACATCTGACTAGCTGGTGGGAGGGCTCAAAGCATGCAGCTGTGATATCCAACACAGACGGCTCCTTGTGGTGGTTGCTGTCGGCGGACAAGATGGGGGCAAAGCTGGTCACTGGGAAGTGTATCCGCGGGTAAGGCACCAGGTTGGTCTGGAATTCAGTCAGGTCCACGTTCAGGATGCCTTCAAACCGGAGGGAGGCAGTGATGGAAGATGCTGCCTGGCTGATCAGCCTGTTGATGCTGGCATAAGAGGGGCGTTCAAGGTCAAGTTTGCCATGACAGATGTTGTAGATGGCCTCGTTGTCCACCAGGAAGGTACAGTCTACGTACTCTATGGTGGGGTGGGTGGTGAGGATGGAGTTGTAAGGCTCCACTATAGTGGTTGAGATCCTTGGGGCTGGGTAGACGGAGAACTCCAATTTAGTCTTGCCACTGTATTCTACGGAGAGCTGCTCCAACAAGAGAGACGTAAATCCCGACCCAGTGCCTCCTCCAAAGCTTCGGAAGATCAGAAACCCCTGAAGCCCACTGCAGTGTTCCACCTGGGAAAAGTATTCATAAATGAGAAATGAGAATTCAGCCAAATAAACCCAGAAGCAGTGGTAACTGTGGGACACAACCAGTACCCAAAAACAGAAAGTTTTCGTTTACCGTTGTTATCACCATCACAAACATGTTTACTTTGAAACATATTTGAGCGGTTACTTCTGGAGTGGGGGAAATGCTTTAGAGTTTTGCTATAAGCTGGGCGTAAACATTCCACTGTCTTTTGCTGCCCTCTATGAATGTACATGTATGTTACCTAAAGTATAGGTATATGAGTATACAAATGTATATGTGAGCTAAAGTAAGGTGTTTATCAATAATGAAGAAAATGACAAGCAAAATATTGAAGCAATATAGTTCCCCACGACCACCCCTCAGTAGATGAAATATCCGTCACTTTTGTACCCAATCTACTGTGCTGGTGTAAAAAAGCACCGTATTCTCTAATGATGATGCCAAACACCAAAATATTTACTAGACAGAGGATTCTCCAGACAGGATTTTAAAGAAGAATTCACTGTCAGTAAATGGAGGAACTGATCTCCAGGGAGGATGTGCCTCCTGTTAACTTTACAACTCATGGTCACTATTGGAAAATGCCAAGTTTCAGAGGGAAGTCTCTGATAACCAGACAAGTCATGAGTCAGCAGAAGCAAGAGTAGATGGTGGCTAGTCGTTTAAAAGAAGGAAATCTGGCTGTTTGCGACAACATGGATGGACCTCAGGGGCAATTAAGCAAAGTGAAATAAGGCAGACAGAGAAAGACAAATATTGAATCATCTCACTGACATGTGGAATCAAAAAAGGCCAAACTCATACAAACAGAGAGAACAATAATAAAGGGGAGATGCTGGTGGTCAGAGGGTATAAACTTCCAGTTATAAGATTAATAATTTCTGGGGGTTTAACGTACAGCATAGTGACTGTAGTTAACAGCATTGTATAGTATACTTGAAAGCTACTAAGAGAATAGATCTTTTCTTTTTTAAAGATTTTTTTTTAATGTGAACCATTTTAAAGTCTTTATTGAATTTGTTACAATATTACTTCCATTTTATGTTTTGGGTTTTTTTGGCTGAGAGGCATGTGAGATCTTAGCTCCCTGAGGAGAGATCAAACCCCATCCCCTGCACTGGAAGGTGAAGTACAGTGGTTAAACTGGACTGCGAGGGAAGTCCTAGAGAATAGATCTTAAATGCTGTCACCACACAAAAAAAAGGTAATTATGTGAGGGCTGGATGTCTTAACTATCCTGATGGTGGTGATCATTTGATAATATATATGTATATTTGATAATATGAATTAAATCATCTTGCTGTACACCTTAAATTTACACAGTGTTTGCCTGGTGGCTCAGATGGTAAAGAATCTGCCTGCAATGTGGGAGACCTAGGTTCAATCCCTGGGTCGGGAAGATCCCCTGGAAAAGGGAATGGCAACTCACTCCAGTGTTCTTGCCTGGAGAATTCCATGAAGAGAAGAGTCTGGTGGGCTACAGTCCATAAGGCTGCAGAGTCAGACACGACTGAGCAACAAACACACTCCACTCCATATGTCAATTATATCTCAGTAAAGCGGGGGGTGGGGGGGGATGAAATAAAACATTTCTTCATGCATGGGAAAAGGAAAAAGAAACAAAGGAGTTGACTGGCCCTTGGAGTAAGTGTGAGGCTTCTCCCCTCCCTAGTAAGTAAGGTTAGCAGTTCCAGCATCAGGACCAGCCCAGCTCTGAGCATGCACATGTGTGGGAGGCTTCAGGGTAGAAACCAGAAAGTGCTGGTGCTAGCTAGGTGGGTCCCCAGGGACCCCGGGCACTCTGAATGGCCCTGGAAGGAGAAGGGAGCCACTTGCCAGCTTGCGGATCCTCTCCAGCACCAGGTCGAGGATCTCTGGCCCCACAGAGTAGCGACCTCGGGCGTAGTTGTTTGCAGCATCTTCTTTTCCACTGACGAGCTGCTCAGAGTGGAAGAGTGAGCGGTAGCTGCCTGCACGCACCTCATCTGCAGAGGGGACAGGAGGTCAGTGCCACCCACTCCAACCCACCCCTAACTCGTGCCCAGCCCCCTTTCTTTCCACCAATATCATAGGAAGAAATTAATTTAAACTGCCCAATTGGCTTTTTTAGTCTAGGAAAAGGTGTAATTATTCCCACATAAATGGAAAGCATGTTTTTCCATCATCCCACCCTTTATTAGTTTATCGGGGCTGCCCTAACAAATGACAACAAACTTGGTGGCTTAAAACAGGGGAGGTTGGACTTCCCTGGTGGTACAGTGGGTAAGAATCCTCCTGCCAATGCAGGAGATACAGGTTCGATCCCTGGTCCAGGAGGATTCCACATGTCACAGAGCGACTGAGCCCATGCACCACAGCTAGAGAGTAGCCCCCACTCACCACAGGGAGAGAAAGCCTGAGCACAGCAACAAAGACCCAGCATAGCCAAAAATAAAATTAATTAATTTACAAACAAAACCAAGGGAGGTTTATGGTCTCATAGTTCAGGAAGCCAAAAGTTCAACGTCCAGACACTGGCGGGGTTGGCTCCTTCTGGAAGTTCTGATGGAGAAACTGCCCCCTGCCTCTCTCCCAGCTCCTGGTGACTGTGGACAGTTCTTGGAGTTCCCAGGCCCACAGCTAGTCATGCCAGTCTCTGTGCTTGTTTGTTTGGGTTGTGGACCCAGTTAAACACACTGGAACGTATATTACCTATGACAGTAGGCTCCAGGTCCATGAAGAGTGCTCTGGGCACATACTTCCCAGCTCTGGTCTCACAAAAGAAGGAATCGAAAGATGCACCCATGGGCTCTGTTTTAGCAGGTGCCAGCAGATCCTGACCACCATTGAGAACAACACCATCTGGCTGGATTCCATGTTCCAGGCAATAGAGCTCCCAGCAAGCACCCCCAATCTGGACACCGGCCTGGCCAATGTGGATAGACAGGCACTCCCTCTGAAATGAGCCATAGTAAGAAGTTATAGTTGTGTGTGTGCATCCTCCTAACCTGACAACATGAACTATATCACTCAGCATGTCTGCTCATGACTGACAGAAACCAGGCTAGCCTATGCCAGCAAGAGAACTTGATGATAAGGCTAATGAAGGTTGTGTCATGGAAACCAAAAACCAGGATACAGGTAAGCTTCAGGAATAATTGAACTAGACTTCCCTGGTGGTCCAGGGGTTAAGACTCCACACTTCAATTGCAGGGGGCATGGGTTCCATCCCTGGTTAGGGAAATAAGATACTACATGCTGTGTGATGCAGCAAAAAAAAAAGAAAAGGAACAAGTGAATCAAGGACTCTAATTCAAGAAACATAAATTAAGCACCTATTGTGTGATGAGCTAAGAATGAGTTAAGACATACTATATATGAATAAAATCAAGCTTACTCACCCAGAAAAAAATTAGTTATTGGAAAGGAATAAAACCAAAATTGATGTACAGCCTGATACATATTAAAATCCACTGCAGTAAATTAAAGATCTTATCATTTCATATCTTGAGATTTTACTTTTCTTATGTGCTCTAAATAAGGAAGGATGTTCTAAGCTTAAAAGTAGAGCAAATTTCACCAAGGAAACAAGCTAGAGATTTAACAACCCCAAAATACAGAAACTCCATACCATAATAGGCAAAAATGTTGACGTATATAAAAAAGGATTTATGTATAACCCTTCATATGTAAGAGCTATGTAGAAGGCAATTTTATATACATCATTTTAAAAATACTTGATATATCTATTAGAAAAATGGGCAAATGACATAAGCGAATGAATTACAAAAGAAAGAATCTAAAATGAAAAGATTTAAGCAGAGTGGCATTCACAGTATCATTATTTGCAAGGGTAAAAACCAAGAACCAATATAGTTAACCATTCACTTTTTGGTGGCATTTAAAGGAAAATAATACAATGGCATGTTATGCAAACTTTTATATTTACCCCTCCCCCAAAAAATAAAAACTATATGACATGGGAAATGCTTATGTTAAAATATTGAATGAAAAGCATATGTTATGTAATTTACATAAAGTATGATGTCAGATACATTTAAAAATGAGCTTACTCAGCCATAAAAAAAGAATGAAATTATGCCATGTGCAACAACATGGATGGACCTGGAGATGATCATATGAAGTGAAGTAAGTCAGACAGAGAAAGACAAATATCATATGATAGCACTTTTATGTGAAATCTAAAATATGATAAAAATGAACTTATTTACAAAATGGAAACAGATCACAGACATATAAAACAAACTTATAGTTACCAAAGGGAAAGTGGGGAGGGATAAATTAGCAGTTTGGGATTAACATACACACACTACTATATATAAAACAGATAAACAACAAGGTCCTATTATATGGCACAAGGAACTATATTCAATGTGCTGTGCTTAGTCGCTCAGTCATGTCCAACTCTTTGCAACCCCATGGACTATATATAGCCCACCAGGCTCCTCTGTCCATGGGGATTCTCCTGTCAAGAATACTAGAATGGGTTGCCATGCCCTCCTCCAGGGTATCTTCCCAACCCAGCAATCAAACCCAGGTCTCCTGCATTGCAGGCAGATTCTTTACCATCTGAGCCTGTAATAAACCATAATAGAAAAGAATATGAAAGAATATATACATATATATATATACTTCAATAAAAATAAATAAATGAAGTAAAATAAAAATAAGCATAGAAAAAGTCTTTAAAATGCATTAAAACATTAACTCTAGTCATATCTGGGGAGAATTTCTTTATCCTCTTTAAACTTACCTATTTTCTTCATTTCCATTGGCCTCCCCCTCCTCTCACACTTTTAAATCACCATTCACTCCTTTTTTTTAAGGCAAACAACTTTTTTTGTAATTTAAGTATCTACTCATCTTAGAGCCAGGAGAAAAAGTTAAATCCTAAAAATCTAAAAGAACAGCAATTGATGGCTTTAGTGTCATTGTGTTCTGAATGCCAATTGTCATGGAAAAAGTCTATGCAGAAGGCTAAGTAGTCTATTTGCTGCAATATCAGGACCCTTCAGGCTGTCTCTCTGATCCACTAATAGGCAACCCTGCCCTCGTCTGTCTGTCCATGGTTGCACTTTCCCGAGGTCTGAGTTGTTGTTCAGTCCAGCTCTTTGTGACTCCATGGGCTGCAGCACGCCAGGCTTCCCTGTCCTTCACTATCTCCCAGAATTTGCTCAGATTCATGTCCATTGAGTCAGTGATGCTATCCAACCATCTCGTCCTCTGCCATCCCCTTCTCCTCCTGCCTTCAATCTTTGCCAGCGTCAGAGTCTTTTCTAATGAGTCAGCGCATCGCATCAGGTGGCCAAACTATTGGAGCATCAGCATCAGTCCATCCAATGAATATTCAGAACTGATTTCCTTTAGGATTGACTGGTGTGATCTCTTTGCAGTTCAGGGGACTCTCAAGAGTCTTCTCCAGCACCACAGTTCAAAAGCATCAGTTCTTCAGAACTCGGCCTTCTTTATAGTCCAACTCTCATATCTGTACATGACTATTGGAACAACCATAGTTTTGACTCTACAAACCTTTGCCAGCAAAGTGATGTCTTTGCTTTTTAATATGCTGTCTGGGTTTGTCATAGCTTTCCTTCCAAGGAGCAAGAATCTTTTAATTTCATGGATGCTGTCACCATTCAAAGTGACTGAGACTGAACCACAAAAAGACACCAGCTGGAGGTTAGGGGTAGTTTCTCTGGCTGGTCACACCACCATCATCTGATCTGGACTCTGTTCCTGCTTAGCTGCACAAACTCTGTACTTTGTCTCTCTGAGTCATATGGCCTAACAGTGCTTTATGAGGAATTCCAGTGCACAAGTCAAGTAGAACTTCCCTCTTGTTGATTTTCTGTGCCACCATGTCTCTCATGACAAAGGCAGTGAACCTCACTTAGTATCAACCAATTTTTCCAACTTCTTTCTGGCACAGGAAAACCTAAACAGCACATTCCATCAGCAGCCTTCTCACATCCATCTGCAGTGCACAGCTTTCTCTTCTCCCCTCAGGAAGGACTCAAGATGATCTCAGTACATCAGCTACTGTAATCAGATCAAAACTTACCTACATCTCAAGATTCAGGTACAAACTTGAAAGCAGTGGGGGTGGGGTGGAGTTTTGTTGTTTCTACATCATTAAAACCACTTACATGTGGCCTTCTCTCACAACATCTTCCCCTGACTATTTTCTACCCAATCCACCAGTCCACAGGACACTTGCTCTTAATTATTCACAGTAAAAATAAACACCAACATGGGAAAAAAATCGCTGTTCTTCATGGGGACTATTCCCCTGTATGATGCATACATAGGAGTGAGACTGAGCCTTTTGAACTTAGCAAGAATACTTGGCCCAAGAAGGACAAATCTTGCCCACACTGGTTGCAGAAGCAGCTGAGTTTAGCTCATAACTATGTCCCTAGGGACAGAAGGCTATCTCCACCTTATTCTTCTCTTAGCCTCTTCCTCCTTTCCAAACTATCTGTTAAAATAATCACACTATTTAAAAAAAAAAAAGATGTCCACAAATATCACTAGTGATGTCCCAGCACTAATAAATGCGCTTTAAAGCTTACTGGAATTACTAGGACAGCACAATTTTCTAATTACTTTTTATTTTGAGATAGATATGAATTGTAGATTCATGGATCGCTCACCCATTTTTCCACAATGGAAATATCTTGCAGGGTCACACCCAGAATATCAAAGTTGATACAATCAAAACACAGTGAGTTTCCATTGCTGCAAGCACTCCTCATGTAGAAAGCCATAATTTTTCAGATCAAAACAATATAAAACAAACATCCTTAAATTTGGAGAGAGTGTCCAAAAGGGAGAGACGATAAAAGATGAAAAAGAGCAGTTTGAATACTTGCTTCCATTGAAGAATTAAAAAATTCTAAGATACTAAAATTTACTGTGACTGGATCATAAGAGATTACACTGTTGGTGGGAATCTAAATTGGTCCAGCCACTGTGTAAAACTAAAAATAGAACTACCACTTAACCCGCAATTCGACTCCTTGTATTCCAAAAAAACAAAAACGCTGATTCGAAAAGACACATTCACCTCAGTGTTCATAGCACCACTATTACCAATAGCCAAAAAATGAAAGCAAACTAAATGTCCATTGACAGATGACTGGACAAAGAACAAGTGGTATAGTAGAGTGGAATATTACTCAGCTATTAAAAAGAACAAATTTTTGCAATTTACAGTAAACTGGATGGCTGCTGCTGCTGCTAAGTCACTTCAGTCATGTCCAACTCTGTGCGACCCCGTAGACAGCAGCCCACCAGGCTCCCTCATCCCTGGGATTCTCCAGGCAAGAACCCTGAAGTGGGTTGCCATTTCCTTCTCCAATGCATGAAAGTGAAAAGTGAAAGTGAAGTCACTCAGTCGTGTCGGACTCTTAGCCACCCCAAGGACTGCAGTCCATGGGATTTTCCAGGTAAGAGTACTAGAGTGGGGTGCCATTGCCTTCTCCGGGATGGACCTGAAGTGTATTACAAAGTCAGACAAAGACAAAGATTGCATCTTATCACTTATATATGGAATCTAAAAAAAAATAAGCAAATAAATATAACAACAGAAACAGACTCACAAAGAGAACAAACTACTGATTACCAGTGGGGAAAAGGATGGAGGGAGGTTCAAGACAGGGGTGGAGGTTAAGAAGTACAAACTATTATGTACAAAGAATAAGCTGTGAAGATATAGTACACAACACAGGGAATATAGCCAATACGTCATAGTAATTATACATGGAGTATGACCTTTGAAAATAATGAATCACTATACTATATACCTGTAATTTATATAATATTGTAAGCAACTATATGACAACTAAAAAAGGGAGAATGAAAGGAAAGTGGATCTTAAAAGGTGGTCTCCAAACAGAATTATTGTAAGTAACTGTATTAATTACTGTCCACAAAGAACTACACTCAAGAGAATAAGACAGAGGTCCCTGTACTTCACCTGGCCACGCATTTGTGAGCTTAGAGCAACCTGAGTCTGAAGTCCCCAGAAACTCTGAAAGCGTAACTAAAAGCGAAGCTACTGATTTCCTACAGAAAGGTCAGCACATTTGATCTAAAGCAAATGTAAAAACTAAAGAAAGAAGAGCTTGCCTCAGTGCTTCCATTGAAGGCAAATCAATGAAGCTTTTCCCCAAAGCAGCAGAATTATAGATTAACAGGTGAAATTCAGAGTAGATTTAAATCTGATCCAAATACGGATATTGAAAGAAACAAATGTCTCTTTAAATATTTTGTCTCTTGTATGAAGAATCTATGAAGAATTATTTGGTGGGGAAAAGAAAGACACAGGATGAGTAAAATTTGCTATAACTATAGACAGCAACACTTACCATGCTGATCTGAAGGTGCCCCACCGCCCGTGGTAATGACAGGAGGCACCTGCCCAGGTAAGCTTTATCAGAGGGCAGGAAATGACCCCACCTGAGGGCTGCACACTTAAAGCAGCACAGTCCCTTTTCAGTTTTTCACTTTTCTGGGGTTAAAGGAGGTGTGACAGGCCTGCCTGAGTCCCCTGGGATAAAATCTGTGCACAACCACTGATGAATTTGCTAAAGTTTATCCAAATCTGCTTCCAACATATACCTAGGTTGAAAATAACAAGTGTCTTAAAAAAAAATAATCCTCCTCTCATATTAAGAATGTATGACAACCAATGAATGTTTCACTTGGTAAGTAGTTTTACAAAAACACTGTTTGATTTTTTTTCTTCTTTATTCCTTAACTTTACTTTCTATTTCATTACATTTTATGTATATCTGTTACTGCCTCTTTGAATCCTGTTTTTGAATTTTTAATTGGAACGTAATTGCTTTACAATGTTGTGTTGGCTTTAGAATGATTGATTTACACATTAATTTATATTAGTATACTAGTTGTTGAATATATGTAATATCAACCTACACAGTGATCGGTGTAATTGCATACAGCTGAAGATTCTGGAAATAATCTAGAAGGAAATCCCCCTAAACAGTATTTGTAAATCTATGGTTGTAAATCCATGATTAAAGGAATTTGGGTGATATTTAGGTCCAACTAAGGTAACAGGAACATCTTCTCTGGGAGGGAAATCTAGAGTCTGATTATTACAAGAAAAATAATGAGAAAAAGAGGATTCAGGGAATGTTTGTCGTGTATTCAGCACTGTCCTAGGCAGAGTAAGACATTCCATTCGGGACCGGGATTTAGCAACAGAAAGTTGATCTCTTATGGGATCAAGATGGTTCACCAGACTTTTCACATCTTTGAGTAGCCAGCCCTCATACTAATCCACTCTCCTCAGCTCTATTTCTGCAGTACCTAGTAAAGTTTGTCTTCTGTTCATCACTTCCCTGCTGTATAGCCAGGACATCTTATAGTAGGAATTCAATAAATACTTGTGAGTAACTGAACAAAATAGTAGGTTACCAAGTGTCTAAAAATAGGAAAGGGAGGCTCTGCCTAAAACGACAGTATTCTCGTTACTGATAAGAAACCCCTCCCCACTGAGAATCCCAGTCGACATCCTGGAATACCTGTCACTGTGGGAACTGATGATCACAAACCCCAAAGGACTGTTTCCTTTTACACCATCAAAGAGCTAAGGACAGATTCTAACTTCAGAAAATCTCAACAAAGTACTAGGTTGAAAGGGTGAAATTGTTGTTTCTGTGAGTAAAAAGATCAAATGTCAGCAATTTCTTAAGTACCATTGACATCCCTGCATGTTCTGAAGGCCCGTCTGGATGGAGACCAGCTCCCTAGAGATGACATTTCTGTACTGCTTTACTCAAACTGCTCCAAAGCGGTACAGAGATGATTCTTAGCTATTGGCTTCATACTCTCTAACTTCTCACTCTTTCTAAAACTAAAAACTATTTCAACATTTTGTACTAACCTGTAAGGGAAAAAAATCTGAAAAGGAATATAGAAAATATATATGGTGTATATCCCTTTATCTGAATCACTTCTGTCCATTAACATGATATTGAAAATCAACTAAACTTTAATTTTAAAAAAAAACCTTTCTTCCCTGTGTCATGATTCTAGTGCAAGTTCAGTCGCTCAGTCATGTCTGACTCTTTGCAACCCCACCAACTGCAGCATGCCAGGCTTCCCTGTCCTTCACCAACTCCTGAGTCTGCTCAAACTCATGTCCATTGGGTTGGTGATGGCATCCAACCATCTCATCCTCTGATGTCCCCTTCTCCTCCTGCCTTCAATATTTCCCAGCATCAGGGTCTTTTGAAATGAGTCAGTTCTTCACATCAGGTAGCCAAAGTACTGGAGCTTCAGCTTCAGTATCAGTTCTTCCAATGAATGTTCAGGACTGAGTTCCTTTTCGATTGACTGGTTGGATCTCCTTGCAGTCCAAGGGACTCTCAAGAGTCTTCAACACCACAGTTCAAAAGCATCAATTCTTCAGTGCTCAGCTTTCTTTATAGTTCAACTCTCACATCCATACATGACTATGGGAAAAACCATAGCTTTGACTAGATGGACCTTTGTTGGCAAAATAATGTTTCTGCTTTTTAATACACTGTCTAGGTTGGTCATAGCTTTTCTTCCAAGGAGCAAGTGAAAGTGAAAGTCTCTCCTCGTGTCTGACTCTTTGCGACCCCATGGACTACACAGTCCATGGAATTCTCCAGGCCAGAATATGGGAGTGGGTAGCCTTTCCCTTCTCCAGGGACTCTTCCCAACCAAGGGATCAAACCCAGGTCTCCCCCATTGCAGACGGATTCTTTACCAGCTAAGACACAAAGAAAGACCAAGAATACTGGAGTGGGTAGTCTATCCCTTCTCCAGCACATCTTCCCAACCCAGGAATCAAACCAGGGTCTCTTGCATTGCAGGCAGATTCTTTACAAACTGAGCTATCCAGGAATCCCCCTCCAAGGAGCAATCGTCTTTTAATTTCATGGGTGCAGTCGCCATCTGCAGTGATTTTGGAGCCCAAGAAAATAAAGGCTCTCACTGTTTCCACTGTTTCCCCATCTATTTGCCATGAAGTGATAGGACCAGATGCCATGACCTTAGTTTTCTGAATGTTGAGTTTTAAGCCAACATTTTACTCTCCTCTTTCACTTTCATCAAGAGGCTCTTTAGTTCTGCACTTTCTACCATAAAGGTGGTGTCATCTGCATATCTGAGGTTATTGATATTTCTCCGACCAATCTTGATTCCAGCCTGTGCTTCATACAGCCTGGCATTTCGCATGATGTACACTGCATATAAGTTAAATAAGCAGGGTGACAGTATGCAGCCTTGACGTACTCCTTTCCCAATTTGGAACCAGTCTGTTGTTCCATCTCCAGTTCAAACCATTGATTCTTGACCTGCATACAGATTTCTCAGGAGGCAGGTCAGGTGCTCTGGTATTCCCATCTCTTGAAGAATTTTCCACAGTTTCTTGGGATTCACACAATCGAAGGCTTTGGCATAGTCAATAAAGCAGAAGTAGATGTTTTTCTGGAACTCTCTTGCTTTTTTGATCATCCAATGGATGTTGGATAGTTGATCTCTGGTTCCACTACCTTTTCTAAATCCAGCTTGAACATCTGGGAGTTCATGGTTCACGTACTGTTGAAGCCTGGCTTAGAGAATTTTGAGTTAGTGTGTGAGATGAGTGCAATTGTGCGGTAGTTTGAGCATTATTGGCATTGCCTTTCTTTAGGATTGGAATGAAAACTGACCTTTTCCAGTCCGGTGGCCACTGAGTTTTCTGTTTGCTGGCATATTGACTGCAGCACTTTCACAGCATCATCTTTTAGGATTTGAAATAGCTCAACTGGGATTCCATCACCTCTACTAGTTTTGTTCATAGTGATGCTTCCTAAGGCCCACTTGACTTCGAATTCCAGGACGTCTGGTTCTAGATGAGTGATCACACCATTTTGATTATCTGGGTCATAAAGATCTTTCTTGTAAAGTTCTTCTGTGTATTCTTGCCACCTCTTCTTAATATCTTCTGCTTCTGTTAGGTCCATACCATTTCTGTCCTTTATTGTGCCCATCTTTGTGTGAAATGTTCCCTCAGTATCTCTAATTTTCTTGAAGAGATCTCTAGTCTTTCCATTCTATTGTTTTACTCTATTTCTTTGCATTGATCACAGAGGAAGGCTTTCTTATCTTTCCCTGCTATTCTTTGGAACTCTGCATTCAAATGGGTATATCTTTCCTTTTCTCCTTTGCCTTTCACCCTCTTAAGGTATCCAGTAAGCATGAGAATATAAACAACAGAAGATGGATCAACAGGAGAAAAGCAAACAGACTTTGACATGTACAGAGGAGCCTCCATAAGAAAGCAAAGATGCAAAAAAGGCAGCAAAACCTCAGTGCTTATGCATGACGTGGGACAATGAGAGGGAATTATGGAAAAGTAGGTAAAATACACGGGGCCATCAAAGGAAGATAGGAGCTACTTAAACAAGGTCTGTTTGCACACAGTTCTCTGTCTCTTGGCTCTGCTCATCTCTGGTGACAAGTATGTGTCTTTCCCTCTGATGCCGGGAGGGCCCCTCTCACAAGGGAAGTTTATCTCCCACTTTTAGGAAGAAAGGGCAGGTCAGAAGGTGCTTCTGGCACCTGCTGTTCTTCAGCTCAAAATAATCCTGCTGCCAAAGCGGCATGTATAGGGCAGCACATTCTGCCACCCTTCAATGTGTATATAGTTTTATTTCTTGGGATAGATTCCCTTTCTGGTGTGAAAGAAGAAGTTATTTTTAAAGGCTTTGAACCCCTACAAAACAGTATTTTGAACCAAAGAATGTACTGTGTAGCAATTGTTAAATTGTCTTTTTCATTTAAGAAGATCCTTTAGGTGATGTGGTCCTTTCTTATAATTAGAGGATGAAGCACTTTCACTCTCTTTTGCTAAGGAGATGCTGTCCCCTCTGCACCGGGAGGCAGGAGGTCTCAGAATCAGATTTACTATTTCCTAGAGACAGCCTGAGAATTCATCTTCAGTACCTTTGGCAACTGGCGATTTATTGAACATGAATAATTCATTTTAGGTCATGACTTTCAACCTCTCTTCTCCCCAAAGGTTAAGAAAGATCTAAAAGTTGAACGGTTCCATGAAGACTACAAGACCTTCTAGAACTAACACCAAAAATAGATGTTCTTTCCATTATAGGGGACTTGAATGCAAAAGTAGGCAGTCAAGAAATACCTGGAGTAACTGGCAAATTTGGCCTTGAAGTACAGAATGAAGCAGGGCAAAGGTTAATAGAGTTTTGCCAAGAGAATGCACTGGTCATAACAAATACCCTCTTCCAACAACACAAGAGAAGACTGACTCTACACATGGACATCCCCAGATGGTCAATACTGAAATCAGATTAATTATATTCTTTGCAGCCAAAGATGGAAAAGCTCTGTACAGTCAGCAAAAACAAGACTGGGAGCTGACTGTGGCTCAGATCACGAACTCCTTATTTCCAAATTCTGTCTTAAATTGAAGAGAGTAGGAAAAGCCACTAGACCATTCAGGTCTGACCTAAATCAAGTCCCTTATGACTATACAGTGGAAGTGACAAATAGATTCAAGGGATTAGATCTGATAGAGTGCCTGAAGAACTATGGATGGGGCTTCATGACATTGTATAGGAGGTAGTGATCAAGACCATCCCCAAGAAAAAGAAATGCAAAAAAGCAAAATGGTTGTCTGACAAGGTCTTACAAACAGCTTTGAAAAGAAGAGAAGCAAAAGGCAAAGAAGCAAAGGAAAGTTATACCCATTTGAATGCAGAGTTCCAAAGAATAGCAGGGAAAGATAAGAAAGCCTTCCTCAGTGATCAGTGCAAAGAAATAGAGGAAAACAATAGAATGGGAAAGACTAGAGATCTCTTCAAGAAAATTAGAGATACTGAGGGACCATTTCACGCAAAGATGGGCACAATAAAAGACAGAAATGGTATGGACCTAACAGAAGCAGAAGATATTAAGAAGAGGTGGCAAGAATACACAGAAGAACTATACAAAAAAGATCTTCACGACCCAGCTAATCACAATCGTGTGATCACTCACCTAGAGCCAGACATCCTGGAATGCAAAGTCAAGTGGGCCTTAGTGCTTCCACTGAAGGCAAATCAATGAAGATTTTCCCCAAAGCAGCAGAATTATAGATGAACAGGTGAAATTCAGAGTAGATTTAAATCTAATACAAAAACAGATATTGAAAGAAACAAATGTTTCTTTAAATATTTTGTCTCCAGTATGAAGAATCTATGAAGAATTATTTGGTGGGGAAAAGAAAGACACAGGATGAGTAAAATTTGCTATAACTATAGACAGCAACACTTACCATGCTGATCTGAAGGTGCCCCACTGCCCGAGGTAATGACAGGAGGCACCCGCCCAGGTAAGCTTTATCACAGAGCAGGAAATGACCCCACCTGAGGGCTGCACACTTAAAGCACCACAGTCTCTTGTCAGTTTTTCATTTTTCTGGGGTTAAAGGAGGTGTGACAGGCCTGCCGGAATCCCCTGGGATAAAATCTGTGCACAACCACTGATGAATTTGCTAAAGTTTATCCAAATCTCCTTTGACTATGCCAAAGCCTTCGATTGTGTGGATCACAACAAACTGGAAAATTCTTCAAGAGATGGGAATACGAGAGCACCTGACCTGCCTGAGAAATCTGTATGCAGGTCAAGAATCAACAGTTAGAAATGGACATGGAACAGACTGGTTCCAAATCGGGAAAGTAGTACGTCAAGGCTGCATACTATCACCCTGCTTATTTAACTTATATGCAGCGTACATTATGCAAAATGCCAGGCTGTATGAAGCACAAGCTAGAATCAAGATTGCTGGAAGAAATATCAATAACCTCAGATATGCAGATGACACCAACCTCATAGTAGAAAGCAAAGAAGAACTAAAGAGCCTCTTAATGAAAGTGAAAGAGGAGAGTGAAAAAGTTGGCTTAAAACTCAACATTCAGAAAACTAAGGTCATGGCATCTGGTCCCATCACTTCATGGCAAATAGATGGAGAAACAGCGGAAATAGTGAAAGACTTTATTTTCTTGGGCTCCAAAATCACTGCAGATGGTGACTGCACCCTTGAAATTAAAAGATGCTTGCTCCTTGGAATAAAAGCTATGACCAACCTAGACAGCATATTAAAAAGCAGAGACATTACTTTGCCAACAAAGGCCCGTATTGTCAAGGCTATGGTTTTTCCAGTAGTCATGTATGGATGTGAGAGTTGGACTGTAAAGAAAGCTGAGCACTGAAGAATTGTGCTTTTAAACCGTGGTTTTGGAGAAGACTCTCGAGATTCCTTTGGACTGCAAGGAGATCCTACCAGTCCACCCTAAAGGAAATGGGTCTTGAATATTCATTGGAAGGGCTGATGCTGAAGCTGAAACTCCAATGCTTTGGCCACCTGATGCAAAGAGCTGACTCATTGGAAAAGACCCTGATGCTGGGAAAGATTGAAGGCAGGAGGAGACGGGACGACAGACGATGAGATGGTTGGACGGCATCACCAACTCAATGGACTTGAGTCTGAGTAAACTCTGGGAGATAGTGAAGGACAGGGGAGCCTGGCGTGCTGCAGTCCATGGGGTCGCAAACAGTAGGACAGGAATGAGTGACTGAATTGAGCTGAAAATGCTTCCAGTTTCCCTTGACTTGTGGTGAACTATACACTAGTAATCGGGCCTTGGCGATTTAGGAACTAGACCCCAGACCACCAGCTCATCAGCCGTTCGACCCTGGGGACCACGCTCCCCCTCACAGATTCCGGGAAGTTTAGCGCCCGAAGGGAGGAGAGGGGCGGGACTCCACGTTCCTAGCAACCGCGCCGCGCCCCCTGATTGGCTGGTCGCCGCGCGGCCGCCATTTTCAAACCCCGGAAGATGGCGGCGGCGGAGGTGGCGGCGCCGTCCTGACAGGAACCCGTCTCCGGGCCGCAGCGGCCGGGCGCCGTGCCGCTCCCAGCGGGCCTCCTGGGCACCCAGCCACCGCGCCGCCCCCTCCACGCCATGGAGCCCGAGCTGGAGGCCCAGGAGCAGAGCCGGCCGCGGAGGCGAAGCCGCAGGGCCTCGGGTCTCAACGCCGGCGGCGCCGCGGAGCCAGCGGCCGACACCCCCGGGTCCGGCCAGGACGGCAGGTGAGCGCAGGGTCGACGACGCTTGGGGACTCGGGGTGTCGGGCCCGAGGCTGGGGAGGGGGTGGCGGGCAGGGAAGGGGCCGGGGGCAGGGAAGAGCCGGACTACCTGCTCTCCTTCCTCATCTCTCCCCTCGTCCCCCTCTTCCGATCTTCTGACCCTCCTTTATTTTTACCTCCGGTTCCTCTTCCTCCTCCCTCTTGTCTCCTCCCCTCCCGGCTCAGGGGCTGGAGGTCCTCTCTGCACACCCAACAGGTTTCGGGCTGGATTGGGGGGGAGGAGGGGCGGTTCCTAAACGCCCACAGAGAGCTGCTGGCTCAGGGGACTGGAATCGTTCCTGGAGCCGGAGAGTTTCTGTTCAGTCGCTCAGTCGTGTCCTCCTTACGACCCCATGGACCGCAGCCCGCCAGGCTCCTCTTGTCCATGGATTCTCCAGACAAGAATCCTGGAGTGGGTTTCCATTCCCTTCTCCGGGGGATCTTCCCAGCCCAGGGATCAAGCCAGCATCTCCTGCATTGACAGGCGGATTCTTTACCACCACGGATTCTTGTGTCACCAGGGAAGCCCCCGAGGAGTTCTACCAGACACCAAACTTTTAGCCTAAAAGCAAGCATTAAATGCAAGCATTAAAATGAAAAGTTTCGCCGAGGTCAGAGTCCCTCCTTTCGAGCCTCTGACCAAGTCCGTGATCAGGGCGCAGCTCAGGGCCCCAGCCTCCCTGGTAAAGAGGATGCAGAGGCCCGTCTTGGACTTTTTAGCTATTGACACATTTCATTCTGTCCGATGCGTCTGCAAAGGGAGGACACCGACCCAGGGTGTTAGAAGCTGTGTCTGCCAGCGAGCGGTGAACAAGGGCTGGGGGCATTACTTTTCCATCAGGATGCTGCAGGCCCTAGGTTCCTGTGACCGGTCGTTGGACCTTTCATCTCTAAGACTGCGTCCTCATCCGTCATATGGGGTTGAAATAGTACCCACTTCCTCCAAGTTGTGCAATTCAATGAGGTCATTGTGTGAGCCTGTATGCAGGGAGCTCGCAACAAACAGTTATTTCCTGATTTTTATCTGTAATTCCATATCTGCTTCTCTTTTCAGAAGTTCCTGTGGTCCACTACTTAAACTACAGTTCCTTATTGACGTTACATTCCAGTCATTCTTGGATGTGCCAGTCATTTTTTCAGAGAAAGGAAAACACCTTCCTTTCTTGGACAGGGCATTTGTAAACTCACTGTTAATAAGTCATCGTGCAGAGAACTAGACTTTTTCATTAGGTATTGATTTTTTATTTTGAAGATTAGGATAATTCTTGCCTGAAACCTTTATACTGATTACAACTTATATTTAGGAGGTAGTGAAAGAGCAGAAAGACGTCATCATCCCAAAGACTGAGAAATAGAATCAGGACCATGTAGTGAAGGGAAGAAGAACAGTGATAAATTCATTCTGCATTCATTCAGTAAAGCTTTTGAGCATTTGCCTGGAAAGATCCCCAGAGGAGGGCATGGCAACCCACTCCAGTATTCCTGCCTGGAGAATCGCATGGACAGAGGAGCCTGGAGGGCTAGTCTGTGGGAGTCACAGAGAGTCGGACACAACTGAACAACTAATAATTTCGCTTCACTAGATCTTCACTTTGTTGTAGATATTGGAGATTTTGGTGAACAGATGAAGTTTCTGCTCTCACAAAGCTTACATTCTGGTTAGGGATGAAAGACGATGATGAAATGCCAGGTGGTCGTCCTGTGAGGAGGATTAAGGCATGTTAACGGCAGGCAGAGACAAGGAGAGGGGCAATGTTGTTCTTTTTAAAAGATCAAAAAAGTCTCCTCCATGGTAATGATGCCCTTTAAGCAGAGATCTGAAGGAATTAAGGAACTCAGCCATGTGAAGATGTGGAGAGAAAGTCTGTAAGTGCAGGGCTTCAAAGTAGAATCCTGTTTTGTGTGTTCAAAGACTGTAGAGAAGCCACGGTAACTGGAGTGGAGCAAAACAAAGGGAGAAAGGTGGACGGCGAGGTCACAGAGAGGCCTGGGGTCAGACCGGGTAGTACATGGCCAACCACCAGAAAGACTTCAAGTTTGAGTCTGTGGTTGGGAGACAATAGAAAATTGTGTGATGTGTATTTTAAAAGGATTGGTCTGTAATGTGGCAGGGAGAAAATCAGGGAGACTAATGAAGAGGTTATTGCAGTTTGAGACATCTGAGTAATACTCCTATTTGGGATGTATTTTTCAAGTAGCACTGACAGGATTTGCATGTGGATTCAGTGTGGAGTTAAGAGAGATGGAGAAATGAAGAATGATTCCGAGGTTTTTAATCTGAGCACCAGAAGAGCAGGTTTCCATGTTCCTGGAGAGGAAAGATCTGGGGAGAAGTTTGCTTTGGAATATGTTATGAGGCTCCTATTAAGGAGTGTATCACAACAATTTTTTCCCCCTTTTCTCTTTTTTTGCTTTTTTCTCTTTAAAAAAAAAAAAACTTTGACGTTTAAGTCAAATGAAAGAGTGCATGAATCATAAGTGTTTTGCCCAGTGAAATTTCACAAAGTAAACAGATCTGTGTAACCAAATATAAATTGAGGGCATATCAGCAAATAGACTTGAAATCACAGCACTGGGAAGTCATCTCGATAGTCTGAAAAGAGGAGAGTTTGGGGCCCAAACCCTGAGACACTCCCCACATGTAAAGGAGATGAGCAAACTCGGAGGAGCCGCAGCTGGTGAGGAACCAGGTGAGATCAGTGTCCAGGAGGCCAAGTGGTGAAAGGGTTCTGAGAAAGGACATGGGAAAGTTTGTCAAGTGTTACTGATAAGGAAGGAATGAACAGGTTAGTGAGATGAGGAATGAGTGACTGTTGAATCTGGTCGTGAGAAGAACATATTGACCTCCAGTAGTTTCCATAAAATAGTTAAAACTATAAAGAATGTTTGTAGTGGGTTGAGAAGAGAATGAGGTGTGGTTTATTCCAGAAATGTGTAAGTGTCAGACACTGTAAATATGGAGATGCAAAATACAGTCCTTACTCTGGGAGTGTTGCTGAGATCCCAGCCTCTGTTCCCTGGTGCCGGATAGAAACACAGAGACAAGAGTTTTGGATGAAGTTGAACAGAGTAGCTTTGTTTTGCCAGGCAAAGGAGGCCGCAGTAGGCTAGCGCCCTCAAGACTGCCCTCCCTTGGGAAAAATAAGAAGGGAACTTATAGTTCAGGAGGGTAAGGTAGTGCTGTAGATAAGGAGTAGGGCAGTAGCAAGCTTGCATTCTTCTTTCCTGTTGGAAAATTTCTACAAGGTCTAAGTCAGTGTCAAGCTGTCTTGGGAGGAATACAGTAGTCTTTGAGGCTAACACACTGTGCCTTTCTTTCTAGATAAAGAATGCTAACAAGAGAAGGGAGTGTTAGGAAGTGCTTCCTCAGAGAAGCGAACACCATATGCATTGTACACAGCTCTGATTAGAAAGTAATCGTTTTCAAAATGTAATTAAGTAAGCAAGAGAAGCTTTTCTGAGAAAATGGCTTAGTGGACTTAAAAGAATAAGGCCTAGCCTGTTGGAAGCAGCCTTAACCAATTTCTGCTCTTACAGAAGAACTTACAATGGTATAGGGAAGAAACTTAATAATCATAATTGTGTATGATGACAGTTACTATCGTGTCAGGTATATGATGCCATAATGCAAATAAAAGGAGAAATTCTGGTTGGAAAGGACAGGAAATGATTCCCTGTTGTAACCCTTGAGTCTCGGAGGGCCAATTTAGAGAGTGGATGTGCATGGGTGATATGTAGGGGGAAGCATTTAAATATTAAAAGGCCCTTTACACAGATGAGCATAAAGGGTTGAAGGTATCATGACACTGACTGTATAGGGAGGAGACTGAGATGGGGATAGAGAGGAGGTAGTGATTGGAGATGATACTGAAGAAGTAAGAGCCACATCACTGAGGTGAGCCTTGTATGCCAAGACAGTAAATCTGATGAAAACTAGCCCCCAAACAAGTGCTCATATACACAAAATTTGTGGACCCTTGCAGCCCAATTATGGAACCAAATTAAAAGTCGCATGTGAATTCATCATTGGCGGGAAGTCAATTTGCAGTCACCTGGATGAGTGTTTGACTCTAATGGCTGGCAGTGAGGTTGGAGAACTTGAAACACTGGGTTACACTTTCAGGAAGTCTCACTGCAACCCGAGGGCAAGAAAAAATAATGGAGGTAACACCAGCTTGTGGGGTAGATTCTGAAGAAGGGGTGAACTTGATATGGGGCGGATGGGGGAATAAGCAAGTACAAAGAGAGGTTGAAGAGACAGGAGGGAAGAAAGGTGATAAAACAAGCAACCAGAAAGACAGAGAAGGATGGACTCCTGTAAGTGTAAAGGTAGAGTCTAGCCTGTTTGAGAGCTGTGGACAGTAGCCTTTGGGGTAAGTTTGGGGTAAGTTTGGGGAATGTGGGATGTTATGAGCAGGAATTTGGGGGCTTTCCCACCAGGGTTCTGTTTTTTAGGTGAGATTGTAAATTATGTCAGCTTTGAAAAGGGTGATGACATAGGCCTCCCTGGTAGCCCTGTGGTAAAGAATCTGTCTGCAGTTCAGGAGACACAGGAGACATGGGTTTGATCCCTGGGTCAACAAGATCCCCTGAAGAAGGAAATGGCGACCCACGCCAGTGTTCTTGCCTGGAAAATCCCATGGACAGAGGAGCCTGGCAGTCCATGGGGTCACAAGATTCCAACATGAGTTAGTAACTAAACCACCACCATAGGCATCGTTAAGAGAATAATGAAGTTGTCCTACTTCATTACTCTCTATTCTTTTTTTTTGAAGGACAAAAAAAAAGAAAATGAAAGTATCACCTTTTTAGAAAACAGTGTTCACGTACTATACAGTTTTACCCACTTGAAGTGTACAATTCACTGTTTTCCTCTAGATTCAGGACGTGTGAATGTCCTCTAGACATATGCAACCATCACCAGGCAATTTTTGAACATTTTTTTCACCTCAAAATGAAAGCCC